CGCGTTTGCTCAACAAAAATACGAAGAATTACTTGATCAATGCCGAGGTTAATAGAAAGTCGGTCGTGGGAGTTATCAATTTTAAAGTTAAAATGTGATAAATGAGGTCTTGAAAATGTTTTAGCCATATGAAACCATAAATGCACAAGAAGGAACGGTACGGAACATGGGATAACCCAGCTCAGAAAACTTTCTATCAAGTTTTTAGTAGATGGAAAATGATTTTCAGCAAAAGAAAAAGAAAGTGCATAAGTGGTAGAAAGCAATATTAAATTTTTCATTCATAAAATTTCTATTTGGTAGTATTCTATTTGATTGTAGACATCCTTCGCGCTTATATTTACTCATGGTTGTTTTAATGGAAGTTGCTAAAAGTTCCTTGTTCTTATCCTTGATCACTAAGTCTGTTCAAAATTTTGAATAAGACTACTGTTTGTAAGCTCTGCACGAGTAAGAAAATCATTCCAGTGATGCCCTGCCTTTTCTGGAAGATTTCGAGGTTTTTTCACTTATCACAACGACGATGTGACTTCAGATTTTTTCACCTTCTTTAGAATACTGTATGGTGGAGAAACTGCCATTTATGCTGGCATACTACGGGTGAAATTTAACGCTGGTGTAGGTCACTTCTTTCCCATACCATAGTGTTATCTCAACAATGTGGCCTGTGCTCAACTTCGTGAACGTTACAAACTTGTTACCACTTGAGATTTTTTTCTCAAGCATCTTCACATATATGCTTGAGATTTATTCCTACATAAAATGGTTAAAAGTGCATTCAAAAAACTGACACAGATTGTTAAATGTTTGTAAATTCAAGAACAATATTCCGTTCGCTTTGCTCTCTCATCATCCATTTCACACTCCTGCAAAAGTGGGGCTGTCTGGTGGATTTTTTCCTTCGCTACAGTATTTCCTCATGCGAATCACTTATCTCGGTGATAATTCGACTACGAGTGCAATATTGCCTTTGAATTAATCATCCAAGAAATACTGTGTGTCCGCCTCAAAAAGTGAACGAGTGTCTCTAAATTGGTTACAGCAGAGAGCGGAAACGGTTGCCAAGTGTGGTCATTGTACAGACATGTTCTTTCGCCAACACCGGAAATGGCGGTAATGAAGGTGGCGCTTCCATACATTTGTGACCCTCACTCGTCATCATTACCATCATCCTCCATCATCATCATCATCATCATCATCATCATCATCATCATCATCATCCTCCATCATCATCATCGTCGTCATCACGTCACTCACCACAGAACACTAGGCAAATAGGGCCAATGATATCTGGCTGTTTCCTGAGCAAGCATCCAGAATCTCTTCGTTAAGAGTACGAAAGATAATGCTGTTAGAACATAATTCTACAGTAATTTCAAACTAACGAAACAAGAGACCGGATGATTTATCCCAATATATAAACGATAAACTTCCGGAAGACTGGTCAGCATCAAACCATTCGTGGTGCCACACCAATTCAAACCTATCAAGTGTGAACGGGAGGACCAAACGCATAGGTGCACTATGAATATGAATTGCGGTGGGTAGCCAATATATAAATGTAGTGTTTTTACCCACCCAGACAAGTTCGGTAGTAATTTACCGTAGAAGGGGTCTTCGTTAGCTAAAAGCGCGGGATCCGAATTAACGAGTGCTTCTGGATTACAGACAAACCAAGCATTACTTTACACTCTAACTATATATACATATACAGATGTATGTACATGTGTTTATATATATATGTGTATATACATGAACATACAAACCAGTGCTTTTTAGGCTACCCAGAATTTTCACAGCAAGCATTAACGTGATGAGTTTTCCCCAATATATACATATCTATGTTTACCTATATAAGCAAGAGTCCTTCAGGTAACAAAAGTAGAACAAATGTCCAATACCTGTCTTAAACTTTTAAAGTAAAAGAGGTTATCAAGAAAAAAAAAAGCAATGCTAATAATGTGTTTGTGCAAGTAACTTGAATAAGAAACACCCGCTTAGATGACGTGAACAATGTCAGAGAGCCTTACTCACCTGTACAATACTGCTGGCACTCTTCAGAGTTTTCAAGTGTTATTCGACTTCCGCCACTTCCTTCAATTTTTACATTTTTCATTCTTGCGCCGACACCTGCAATTACAGTGGATTGACAGCTTGAAAATGGTAAATCTGTAGAATAATCGCATCTACTACAACCAAATATCGATGTTTTCACAAAATTGTCAATGGGGGCTACATTTCAGAGGTCGATGAAGTTTATATATGTGTACGTATATATGGGTCGGTGTGAGTTGATGTATCTAGGTGCACCTAAGTGTATATCGGTTAGTATCTGCTTAAAGACGTGTGTGTGTGTGCGTATGGGTGTATAGGTGTATGTGTCCATGTATGCATGTATGCATGTATTTGTGTTTATTTGTATGTATGTATGTATCTATGTATCTATGTATGTGTCTGTACATAACAGAATTTTAGTCACCACAGCTTATTAGAAGATGGACATCCTTGAATAAATAACGAAATGATGTGAACAATTGAGGTTTAAATGAATGAGTCTTAGGCAATTAAACGTAAATACAGTCTCTTATAGAAAATTTCACAAACGTAGTTCAACAATGAGAGGTTTAGAAGATGAAGATAAAGCGAAAAATAAAGAAAGAAAAGAACTTTGAAATAGCAATAAACAATGATGTAGAAAATCAGGCACCTCCATTTGCGTTCGCTCGTATGCCGCTAATCATCATATCCTCTTGTTCAGAATAGTTAATTGATGATTTCATGTAGCATCTGAAAATGTCATCGCTCATAACCTTTTACCAGTTTCCGAAAACAAAAAGCAAATCAAAGTAGAAATCTGAGAATTATTTCGTTCTACTCTCAGCGCTTTATATCTAATGGATTTTTTCACCGCCATAGTCGTCCCTTCATATGAGTTCATCATCATTTTGATTTCTCCTAGAGCTGAATAGGCAATGTTTTAAAGAAAGCACATGAGAGGTGTCTAAGAAGAAAAATGTGAAAGAAGGCTATTGTTTCAAAAGTCCTAAAATTTCTTGCTTTCTTCAGCTTTATAGTATTTTGATCAGAACCACCAAATACGACTAATTCGTTTCTTTGCCATCCACGAGTGGAAACAATACTTACGTAGTTTAAAAAACATCTAGATAACCTGTATGCCTATAGTTCCTTTTTCCAATTGTTTTCATCAAAATTTTGCGGTGAAGGTTACTGTAAAGATTTTACGAGGGAGTTAACTTGTGAGTAGTAATAGTTAATACCTCTTTAAAGCTTTTGAGTAGGTGTATCCAGCACAACACGGTTGACTTGCACACTGTATACAGCATTGAGTGATATCACTGGCATTGAATTCATCATAAGTGCCACCTTTGAGATTGATGTTAGGCAAATAGAAACACGTCGATGCTAAATTACCCATTTAAAACATCTCATCCTTCCTAATTGAAATCTTACAAAACAACACTTATTACTCTGAAATTTATCATTAATACACATAGTATGGCTGATCGAATTTTACGGGCGTGTCTCATTACGATTTACAACAATCTGAAAAACGAAAGTTTTCCGTTTCAGATTATTAACATCAAAAACGACAACTAATGCTGTTTGCTCATTGAATTCTTACCGTTATTTGTCGACTTTTATATATATATATATATATATATATATACGCACACTCACATATACATAAAATCATACATACACAGATACACACATGCATGCATGCATACATACATACATACATACATACGTACGTACATACATACATACATACATACATACATACATACATACATACATACACACATACATACATATATACATATGTACATACATGTATGCAAACATAGAAACGTACATACATACATACGGTAAGGTGTCAGTTGAAGTCACATTCTTACTAATGATGAAAAAACATTAAAAGAAATACTTTCGATATGAGAAGAATATCGAAATAGGTAATCAATATCAATAGAAGGCGATTAGCTCCAAATATATTAGCTAAAATACTTACAAATTGCCCATCTAATCGGAAGAATTGCCAGTGAAAACATCAGCAGCGAAATGATCATCTTCTCCTGTAAACACTTGATTTTGTTCAAAATCGCGGAATATCTCTGCAAGAAACGACTACAAGGGTCGGGGTAACGCTTTCATGACAATGACTATCTCTGGAAAAAATTGTCATAATTACATCTGTTTATTAGTTGAATAAAGAGTTTAAGATTTATGTTGGCAAATGAACAATGGAGTTCATTTGTTACAAAAAAAAGATGCTCTCATTCACAAAATTAAACTTATTAATAAGATCGGTTTGTAATAAACAGCATGCATAGTGGTAGTAGAGCATCCAAGTTGATATATATATATATATATATATATATATATATATATATATATATACGAATATGTATATATTTGTGCAGTGCCCGTGTTTGCGTGCGCGTGTGTCTGTGTTTCTGGGCGTGTGCGTGTGTATTTGTATGTATGTGTGTGTAAGTGTTTGTGTGCTTGTGTGTGTAAAGGTGAATGATGATGGTAAGTAGGACAGAAGTGGTTGGGTTGATGGTTGGTTGTCTAGTGAGGTGGGAGGGTTGGGGCGGGTGCGTACCTTTTCGCCTTCTCTCTCACGCCTGCAACACATCATATTATTAGTAGTCGCAACCAACTACGTATGTATCGACATACACATACACACATATACACACATACACACATGTACACAAATATACGTAGATATATGGATGTGTAGAAATGGACATCTATACCTACGTGTACGTTTTAGAGTTAAGCACAAAAAAAAAACGAAAAGAGGACGAAGAAACACTGCCAACCACCAGTTTTTTGCCGTTTGCACCCTATATCACTCATGAAAAGATCCAATCAGTCTAGAAAAACAATGTGACCAAATAAGAACGAACAGTTATTTTCGATGACGATAAGCGAGCGATAACACGGCTGTATTACAAAACAACCAACAAAGTTTAAATACCTGTGTTAACAATTCCGTAACGTAACGTCGTCAGGAAAACGGTTCTGATGAATTGATAGAGCAAGGTTAAACAGATGAATTTATGACTGGATGCTATGGCCAATTTTATTAATAATATATACTGACTAAAACTGTAAGAATGAAATTAATTATTACCTTATGGAGTAATATAGCTGTCTAAATATCCTAAGAATTATTCAGAAATCTCAACCACATAACGTACTTCTATAATGATTTTGTTAAAATTACGTTACCACTATACTTGATTCAAGGTCAAGATTCAAGGATTCAAGGTTCATGGTCAGCAAGGTGAAGACCTCGCGTTACATTTTGCTAATCCTTCTCATGTGAGATGTATTCACCTATTGATTGTGCTTTCCTATATAGTAGATAGAATATTGGAAAAAAGGCAAAGGCGACAATCTACCTTATTTCAAGGATACACATACACAAGCAACCGTATTCATGGATACGTGATATGATGTGATGGCTTGTGAGAGTGTAACTCCTTTCCTGTGAGTCTATTTCGTTAAAGCGTTACGTACAAGTATATGTATGAGGGTACTTTTTACTGTACTACGGTAGAACAAAAGTGTATCTCTTATGAAAATCATCTACGCTTTTAACTTCGCCATATCCAATTTGAAACCCAGCTACGATCACACTTATGCTACATCACCATCCGTTGTGGTACCACTAGCTGTTGTTTCATGGAAAGTCCTTTAATGTTGAGTTTCACATGAAAAGTGGGATCCTCTTGGTGTTCATCAAGGGAATCGAGCTCAATGGGCAACAGCTCAGGAATGCTATTGGGAGAAGTGAAAAAGCTCTGGCTTGGCTGCGCTTATTCGGATGATCCGATGATTAACAAAGTAACACCATTACCAGCTATTTTAGTTGAGTAATATGTGAAAGTATAAATGCTCCGAATCACATATAATGTAAATAGATTAATGTATACGGTTGCCTTGAGTTTAAAGAGTAAGTAGTGAACAAACAAGCAACTATCCATCCGCTGAAAAATGACAGCGAAATAAAATTATGCGATTGTGCTAGCTTCCTCCTGTAATTTTACATTGTGTGAAAGAGACCCATCCTTAAGTAATTTGAAGTAATAATGAGGCTCGATAAAAACTTAATTAAACGTTTTGGGGTTTTCATGTTTCCTATTTTTCAGTAGCTCTAAATGCAATATTATTTTGCTCAAGGGCCCACACCGAAAAAAAAAGCGCTTGCCTCATCACTGTTCAGAAGGATAGAGTGAAGCAATACAAAAATATCCCTGCTCGTAGCAATACAAAAACACTCGTTTTAAACTTGTTTTGATTAAATTTATTTCAACATTTCCTTCACGAATAGACAACAGTTTATTAATGAAAGCTCCAACCACTTATTTCGCTTTATTCAAATACCGTTTTGTTGATCAACGAGGTGATTAAAAGAAACTGGGTCCTGGAAGAATCGGCTAGAATGCTAGAATCGGCAGTGAGCATTCTCCAACCTAGGAATTTTATTAAAATTTACTCTGAAGATCATTAATGAACGTCATACGATGATCACATGTTTATGGAATTTAAAAGAATTAACCGCTTTTTGCCTACAAATGTTTTTGGGTTAAATACTAAATATACGCCTAAATACTTTTCTTGCAAAGCCTTCGTGCAAATAGGAACTTTTAATTAGTAAGAATGCTCTACTCGTAGAAACAGTATTAGACTGTGTTGGTAATCTCAACTGATTCAACACAACTATCCACTGTCAGTTATTTAAAGCACTCTCAATTTTTTAGCTTAAAAAGCTACCAATATTTTCAATCGCCCTAGACAGATAATAAAAAATAATGCTTAAACATTTCACCGGCAGCTTTCGCCATCCACTGCCCTTTATTTTTTCAAATAAGCTTGTTTTCTTGCTTCAATGATTTTTGGTTTATGGTTATCTTTGGTCCCCTAATGATCTACAGCTTTATCGTAGCTGACAAGTGTACCTGAGTGCCGGGCTGTGATGTACAGCAGAAGTATTCATTCCCTTAACAGAGTCTCCCAAGCTGAGAAGTAGGTCGGCGTTTCTATTATGAAGCTTAGCTAAGAGTAAACCAATAACAGGAATCACCGTCGTCCTGGTTTCGAACCAGTGGCATGGTAGCCAATCTCCCTCTGATCCACAGCGGCGTCGATGTCCTGTGGTGGTAACGAACGGGTGCAGGCTCTGACTAGGCTGACCTCGGGACTCCAGAGAGCCACTCTGGCCGAACCAGAAAAAACTCCGAAACAATGGAAGTGGTGCTGGAGCCCACAGAACTAGTGAATACGGACCATCCAAGTATACAAGTGCCCAAGTAACTATCAACGTCTTACGCAATATTTCTTCAACAAATCACTTCATCTAATCACATCATAACTGTTTTGTTCTTCGGCTCGAAGATGATAGGAATATATTCGGTCATTTACTATGATGACTAGTGTTTAGTGCCTTTACCAACAGATATCTAGCATAATCAGTCAGAGGTGCATGGCCTCAAAATAGCAGTAATTAGGAAGTGAATATCCTTGTAGCGGCGTCCTAAAACGCCACTTCGCTTCCTATGCTTGAAATCACTTCTGGTATGAGTTGAGATATTTCTTCTGATGTGGCTATTTCCAGTTTTAATCTCATAGTGTCTTGAACCATGCACTCGTTACTCACTTGATCCAACCATAGCATTTCTCATTTGACATACGACACATCGAGTAGAAACTGCGAACTGCTTCTCGTCGCTCGCAAACTAAATCAGCGTTACACCGAGCAATCCAGATAACCCATAAACTTTCTTGGCCAGGCCTTCAACGAGGAGTTGAAATGAATGACTTAGCACTTCAAATCGATTTCACCAATTACAAGCGCTTACCGTTTCCTCCAACGAAGCATCGAAAATCCTAACAGGGCAGATTGCCATAAGAAGTATTAACTACCCTCCCACAGAAAAATCTTGTACATAAGATATTTCGGTCATACCAAAGTATGCGTTTGCATTTTGTTGGAGGAAAAAAACTTTTCAGCTCTTAAATATACCAGCTTCTTAACAATAAAGCATACTGTAGTCCGCTCAGAAGTGACTTATACCGTAGTCGATATAGTAGTCAATCTACCTCTTCTGCAAATAAGCGTTTGTATAACAGTCAAAAGTGGAAGAAAAAGGGTGAATGGCATAAACGATAGATGACAAAAAGACCAAGGCCGGAACAGGAAAGAATACGGATACAGAGAGAGAAAACTATAAAAAGGTGCAGGATCAAAAGCCACTGCGGTGGAAGAAAAAAAGAAAAAAGCATGATTGGTATGAACGTTGGACTGTGGAAATCTCTGGAAACACTTCTCGGAATGTTTAACGTTTTGTTTTCTGCCTTCTATAATTTTCATGGCAGGTTACTAAGCGAAATACAACC